CCTTTGTAGAGGTACAATTGCAAGGCGACAGGCAAATGGGTGTGTCTTTGTGGGTACCTTGTTTTGTTGGGATCATGTTTTTAAGGTGAACCTCTACGGAAAGCTACCGTTTCGGGTTTCACCTATTTTAAGAGACCTATGGAGTTTGGGGTTTCAGGGGGCTTTGGCTTCCCAAGGGATCTCCTTCATGCTGGGTTTTGGTGTTGAGCGAATTGGGATCCTCATTTTCTACACAAGGGATAGGTTTGGCGGCCATTGTGCAGAGGATCAGTGTTGGGATACAAGATTCTGTTGAATGTAGATGAAGCTTTTCTCTCATGCAGAGATTCATGTTTTACCCAGGATAGACAGACATGGCATTGTGCCATCTATCAAGGTCTAATGCATGCACCCCTTCGGGCGCACCCTAGGATTGTACCCGGGATTGACGGGGTATGTAGCAGCCATTTAGGTGGGTTATGAAACTTCCTCTCAGGGGTAGAACCCGCCGCCTTTGCTTCCGCACAAATCCTGCAAAGAAGATGGGCGGAGATACCGTCCCTGCCCTCATATTTGTCTTTTTCTGCATTCTGCCTTTGTTCCTTTCCTGCAGGGTTGGCGCGCGACTATTGCCAGCTTGGGATTGGGGAGCACATTTCTCCCGCCAGGACACCTAAACATGAGCTCATGTTTCAAAACTAGGAATGTTTCCGAATGGCTGTCTTCATGTCGCAGGCCGTCACTGACGGCATGCCAACGTTTTTCACGTTCCATACAGGTCCTACTTCTTGGATAGACATACTCATGGAGTCAAGCCGTGGCATCAAGCAGGCCACCTGGTTTCTGGAGATTTGGTCTTCGCCCGGCATGGCTGTTCCACGAACTCAGACACCAGTCTGGACTTTTGGGCCCGACGAGCTAAAAGATTCATGACAGACACAGGGCCTGAATCGCCTTGCCTGCGGCACTTGGCTCTGATTTCATTCCCGACTTTGCATCTCATCTCTTCGGGCTTTCCCGCAACAGTTGTGGATCCCATGAGTTTGGGGAGGGTTCCGAGAGGGCCCGGCGGTTTTTCTCAGATCGATGCGTCTGAGGCACCTGCCAAGCGACCCAGGAGGCCTTGGCCAACCGCCAGGCGCAGGCAAAGGAGGCGGGGTGTGCCTCGGCCTCGTGCGGCGTATTCTTGGGTCTGAAAGGTCGAGCAGCTAGCTGGGTGATGTTGTCCTCTTCGCAAGGTGAGCAGACGCTTTTAGGATGATGTGCCATAAAGCCCGTGCAGGCGCTTGTTCGGTTCAGTCTGCGCAAATCCCAGGGGCGCTTAAACCCCAGCGGAATGAAGCCAAGGGAGCCTACCCGAGGGAGTAAGGAGCCTACCCAAGGGAGCAGCGCCAGCCGGGCTTTCGGTACAGGAAAGTCAGGAGGAGGGCGTGCAAAGTCCGATGCATCACAAGGGCAATCCAAAGCAACTAACGAAAACGAGCCATATGCATCAGAAAGGGGGCTCCTCTGCAAGGCCGGTTGTTTCTAGGAATGATTGGCTTGTGGCTGAAGATGATTTACTCTCGCAATTTTTCAGGGGCTCTTCTGCCTGGCCTCGAACGTTGTCAGCAACAGTCGCTCTTGGGTTGCTACGGGTTCAATTGCTTCAAGGGAACTCACGACGTGTCCCAGAGGATATGCCCACCCACATACCTCGAACGCAGGAATCACGTATTTCCCCTACATGGTTGTCATACTTTGCCACATGTCCAAATGCGGGTTTGCCACAGGCTGGGGAAGGGGACCACTTGTCTTCATTCGTGTCCAAGTGGGACATGGGAGCCTGGAACTGCATTGTCCAGGGCCACCAGTCCTTGGAGAAGGAGCAACTGCAGTTGGCCTCCAAGCTGCGCCAGCTGGAGACCATCAGGCGTGCTTTGGAGACAGATGCAAGGATGCAAGCTCCAGGCCCCAAAGCGTGGCAGACATTTCCGGGGTAGGAATAGTTCAGCTTTCTCAGGATTGCTGAGCGACAAAAGGAGCGGCTTGCCCTTGTTTTCCCGAGATCGATGATTGCCCCAGCGTCCTCCCACATGTTTTTCACGGATGGTTGGCCGATCCTAGTGATGTCAAAGCACCAGTTGACTTGCAGAGAAGAAGCGGCCGCCCGGTGCTAGGGGCTGTGTTCGGCCATGTTGCGTGACTTTCCAGCTTTCCTGTGTTGACACCATCCAGAAGGGCACACTCGAAACGGTTGAAGCATCAGCTTGAAGCTGGAATGGTTCCACTAAGAGGACAGGAGTCGTTGTAGTTTACCATTATGTCTGGTAGTATGGCAGGTTGCAAAAGTTGAAATATCTCTCGCGATGGGAATGGTGCCATGGCCGAATTTTTGGGAGCTCCACAAGCATCCGCATTCCAATGGAGGGCCCTTTCCAAGCATCTCCCATGATGTTTGCTCTGCAAAACAAACATGTCTACCACAATTCGCCACACAACTACACGGCCTTCTTGAAAACCGCGTAGAAAGTGAGAGAGACAGTTGCAGCCAACATAATTACAACTCGCTGGGCTGGATGACTGGTTTTGACTGCTTGGGCTGCCACTTGCTGCCCAGTCTTGGGAGGCTCTTGTTCGGTTGGTTAGCAGAGTTGCCAGCTCTCGGTGCAGGCTGAAGCAACTGGACCAAGACATGAAGGCAGGGGAAGTCTGTATGTGTGGTTTTTCAGGGCACTCCTTTGGGGGATGTCTTGGAATGGAAAACAAAGTTCCTCCTCCCCCCCACCGCGTTTTGTACGTTCCCCCATTTGGAGCAACTTATGGTTTCTTGTATCATTCCTATGCCTAGACATTCTGTGTCCTGACCTTTGGCCATGAATTCAAGGCGCTTTTCAGCCGCCCTCGTACCCAGCTGGAAAGAGCCATATAGTTGGCTTGTAAGTGGGGCCGGGAGGGGGTACCTTGACCAATGTTGACCCTTGCTGAATACAAGTTGATCATGTCGCCGTTTTTTCAGACGTTTGAAGAGTGACTGGAGTGGGAGGCTGGGTTGACATTAAGAGCCACCCCTGCTTGGTTGGTTTGGAGCGTGTTAGCAGTGATAAGTGCAACATGCGGTGGACTCTCTAAGTATTGCAAGTAGGGAGCAAGGGAACTCCTGTAAGTTGCCTCAATCTGCCAGGGTTTCGCGATTGGATGTGGTTGCTTCACATGTGTTTGAGATCCACGCTTACAACCCAACAAGTTTGCCTTTTGCATAATCCACGTCTCGAACCCATTGCATCCCTCCACCAGGAGGGGCAAGTGCTGTTGGCGTCTGAACCACAATTCCACCCAATAGGATCCCTGTTGACTGCAGCTCCGGCGACTCAGAATACTTGTTTGACACATGGGTTGCACCCCAGCTCAGCCGATGCGTCGGTTGCTGGGCGAAATCCTGCATGATAGATGGTTCCCATTCATAGGGCTTCCATTCCAACTGGTGCGAAATGGTTTTGTCGCCCTGGTGCACCCCAAAAAAGATGGATCGAGGTGTGGACCACAGACCAATCCCGAGAGGGACCTGACTCCTGAGCCCGACTGAGCCCCGCAACACGTGTCTTCGCGAGGTGGTAAAGGAGACTGTCTTGCATGTGCAGCAAGAGCTCCAGAAGGAGGACCAGAAACTTCGGACTCGGACTCGGGTCTCGTTTGGCCAAGGACAGCGGCGATATGTTTGCATATACAAGTAGGGGGCATGCTGGACGCTCGTCCTTGATCTCTTTAAACACTTTTTTGTCGGACTTTTTCACCAAAGTCAGTCTCCAATAGGCTATAGAAGCAACGCCAACATCGGGCCCGGAGCCCTCAACCTTTAGATGTTGGGTGCTTTTTGCCCGTGAAAGCTCTCCTCCGACGTGAAGCTCGAGAGGCTTTGTCATACTCAGTGAAAAGAAACAGAAGAGACACCGTGGCCGTTTTCCAGAAGACCTCGGCGTCTTTGGTTTGGTCGAGCACCAAAGGATTTTGTTCGGGCCATCTTTCAAGATAAAGGGGGGCCCTGGACAATTTGCAACTTTCTGGGATGCCAAGGGCATCCATCCCCTGTAGGTGGTGATTCCAGAGCACATCCTGCGAGACCTGGATGCCAAGAACGAGAAGCGCCTGGTGCGCGGCCAAAGCGGTCGCCGGTTCGTGTAATGAGTTGGTACGAGTCAGGGCTTCGGTGCATCGGTACACGTGGATATAGCGTTTTTCTCTCAGGCTTCTTATTGTTGTCTGGGCTTTGCAGAATTTGCTTTTTCGTCACAGTTTCACACTTTTCGGGGTACCAACTCAAAAATACTGGCCTTTTGGGAAGTACACCCCACAACATGACACCCGCCGAAAGGTCCGTTCAAGAGATCCTGCAAGATGCAATTATTCCAGGTATGCGCTATTCTAGGAAGTGCACATTTACAGCACCTTTGGAATTTAGAGTGTGTTTGCTTTCGGTAACAGGGCGCATTCCTTTCAAAGCGATGGAACACTTGCAGTGGGTTGCCATCAGGCTTTATGTGAGCAACTCGACATGCATTTCAGCTAGATGCACATCCAGCCTGTTTGCATGATATCATGCTGATTCCATCTCAACTTGATGACTGTTGGTTTGGATTTCGAATGATATATTCCTCTGCCGGTTTCAAGCGCCAAGGATTCATGTTGTTAATTCTGCATCTAAACTTGCACTTGTAGCAGAACATCCAATGCTTCATGATTCAATTGTCTTATTGGCAGGATCTCGCTGAACTCAGCGCGGAAACCAATTCTCACTGAGCATTTCACCCATTCGTCCAGTGCCTTCTCTCTTTTGAACTGGTTTAGGTGGGCTCACCCGAAAAACGAACAAGACACTGGAATCCTTCTCCCCATAGCAGCCTCAACAGGGTGTTCTTTACTTGTGATAGAGGGACCCTGATCAGTGAAGGCAAGCCCTGGTTTCTCCGTTGGGGTGCGTGCTCGCCGGAAAATGCGAGGCGATGTCACTCTTCCAGCAACCACGGGTTGAAACTCTAAGATACTCTTCGGGGGTTAAACGTCACCCCACGGGAAAAACATGAGATGGGGTTTCCTTTGATTGGGTCAGGTTTAGAGCAAGCACACCCCAATCGGTTGGTCTCATGTCATCGAATGGTGCGATTTTACGTGGGTTCCCAACATGCTTTCCCCCAGGGTTTCTGTTTGGAAACCAGTCAGGTCCTTGAACCTGGCCAGAGCCCGTTTTAGACAAGCTTCTTGAAAAATGGATAGTGGTCTAAACGTGGTTGATTCCTTTTGGTGTGGTAACCCTGTCATCGAAACTGGCTGCAGCAAAAGTGCCTTATAGCAAGATATGTATATATATAATGCATATGTATATATTCATATATATATACACATACACATACAGCTATACATACCAGTAGAGCCAACGAAGCCGGTGGGCAGAAGTTGCCTTATTTCCTTTTATTCTTCGTGCTTCGTTTCGTTCTTTCTTTCTTTCTTTCTTTCTTTCTTTCTTTCTTTCTTTATGTCTTTCTTTCCTTTCTTCTTTCCTTCTTCCCTCTTATCCGCTGAATAGAATTGTCTATATTTATATCTAGCTATCTATCGATCCACTATCTATCTATCTATCTATCTATCTGCCTACCTTCCTGTCTATTAGGATATTCATCTCCATCTATCTAGCTATCTAGCTACCTAGCTATCCACCTATCTACCCATCTATCCATCTACCTATCTACCACGCACTTTATTTATTCATTTGTCTATTTATTCATTATTATTTTGTATGCACTCCTCCTTTCTGCCTGTCTATCCAACTATCTTTCTAGCTTATTTCTCTCTTCGAGCCATCCATCCATCCATCCATCCATCCATCCAGCCAGCCAGCCAGCCAGCCATGCATGCATGCATGCATGCAGCCAGCCAGCCAGCCAGCCAGCCATCCAGCCAGCCAGCCAGCCAGCCAGCCATCCATCCATCCATCCATCCATCCATCCATCCATCCATCCATCCATCCATCCATCCATCCATCCATCCATCCATCCATCCATCCATCCATCCCTCTACCCTAATTATCTTATCTTATTCTTTTCTTGTTATCTGGCTCAGAGAGCTAGCTTTCAGTTAGTTGCAGCAACACGGAAGTTCCTTTTAAGCTTCCTTTGATAACTACGTATATACACATGTTGTATGTGGCCATTTGCAGCAGTACACATTTGTCGGGGCAAACCACCCTTGTCGGGGCAAACCACCCTTGCTTTGGGTTAGTAGGGACCTTAAAAGGGATTTTGGACCGCTGCAAAAGTTCCATTCAGAGAGAATGAATCCTTTTCGTTGGTCAGTCATATGCTGCAGGAGTCCGTGTGGGCTGAGCTCCGGACCCATGCAGAGGCGAGGCAGCTCTTTTGGGGGCATTAGAGTTGTCAAACATATACCACCTCGGACTCTGGTGCCGCCCGAATTGCCCGCAAAACCGGCCCCATTTCATGGACCTTTCCAAACCTAGGATTTGGGCTTTGTTTTAAACATCCAAAACCGACTCCGGATCATTTTGGGTGAATGGTCCTGCAACAATTCTTCAGAGCTAGGGGCACCCATGGGAAAACCGTGGTTGGTCTCTGGAGATGCATTTTTCTAGGAGTACTACCTGGGGTATGAAACGGTGATATGGGAACGAATGCCGGCTTTGGTTGGCACTGTTACTCGCTGAGGAACACCTTCAAGTAGGGCTCCATCATTGAGCATGGAAACGATTTGACAAAAGGCAAAAGATGTGGGACACCAGCATACTTTACGGGTTTCTTTACGGGTTTCCTCCAGGAGGGATTCTTACGGCATAGCTTGCCAGAATTTTTGATTGCTCGCAATATGTTCTGCGTGTGACAAAGCCATGGGTGTTTCCGAAAATAGGCATGGACACCAAAGGGAGGTTGGCCTCCTTTCCAATGCAGCTCCCCACAATTCAGGACCAGCCAGTCAACAGAGATTTGGCGAGGGGTGCCTGACCGCAACTGTAGAGCAACTTCCCATCGCGACAGGGAAAAACTGGGAATGCATTCGAGTACTTCGGAGACGTTTTGGAGGAATTTTCAGAGCAACTAGAAACCAGTCACTTGGAGGGGGGCGGAGGGCTCCAGATAGGATAAAAGCTTTTGGTTTGTTTGAGAACGCACCAGAAGACCAAGCCTCGGTGTCCTTTCTGGGTCAGTTTGGTTGAACATGGCAGCAAATCTATTTGTCCAAAAGGGCAGGGTCCCAGCCTTCCGCATCCTGAACCTCACGGCCAGGCAGCGGCGACGCGCGCAGACAAGCTGGAGCAGAACATCACCCTTCGTATCGTGAATCTGGCTGGGGCGCCTCAGGGAAAACAGGCGAAGGACTGGGCCACTGGGCCCAAAGTAAGCATGGGAGGTTCTCAAAGACACTTTCAGAGGTTTCTGCCTTTGAAAGCACCTTAAGCCCTCCCAGCGACGGCCCCGGACTGCTGAAACTTGTTGCGGTCTCAATTCGTAAGCCTGGACTCTGGGAAGACTTGGTCAACACGCCTCTTGGTTTTTGGTTTGGAGTCGACCTGAGTGCAATAAAGCTCGAGACACGGCAGCTTGAAGGCGTTTGTTCCTTGGAACGTACTTCTTACCTGGCATGGCTGCCGTTGGAAGAGATATACGATGATGCAGGCAAATGGGTGGGTCCAGCATCTTCTTTCAATGGAATTCTTGGGGTCAGTCACTTGTTTTCTGCAGAAAGTGCAGACGCTTGTGCATGCATGGCCAAGCATTGGCTTGATAGTCTATGTGCCTGTGATGCATTTGTTGCATTTTCAACTCTGGAAACGAGCACTTGCGGCTTATTGCCGGAGAGAGCAGAACATGGCCAGCTGCGAAGCTATGCACAAATAGAACTGTTAAGCCGCAACGCTTGCTTTTCCATGTTAGCCCCACCAAAACCACAGCTGTGTGTTGTGTGTGGAATCCCAGGGCAAACGATTGGCATGTTGCATGCCATTTCATCAACATCCAGTGCTCATTTGAGTCTTCGCCAGGAATGTTTGACATGGGCTACATGTGCTTTGGCACGGCAAGCGTGACGTAGCATGTGCCTACCGCATTAGCCAACTGGGAGGGTCTTGCTTTCTTGATGGGATTGAAGGAAAACCACAAGGGAATCGACGGCCTGGAGGCGTCCCACTTTTGAGCAAGACTCAACTGATTTGGGTTGTCGTGTCCAAGCATCATGAAGCCTCTTGGGATGCCTGGTGCATAGAGGGACATCATGTTAGACATTGCTGGCCGATATCAGATCCGCCATGGCAAAGCCAAGGACTCAAGAGACAATCCCTGTATCTAAGAACACATTCCCGTCCTGCCACCGCATTCGATTGCGCTATGAGCCACTGTTCATGGCTTCCGGAAATCTTGCGGTCCATGCGCCCCCCACCCCCAGCCTTCCCCATGTCAGCTCCCTTCCCAGCTTTCCGGGCTGTACCAAGCCACGGTCTTGGGCGACCCAGGAACGGTCGACCACCACACTGGCGAAGTCGGCGGACGGGGCTGCGGAAATGGGGTGGCCGGGGATGCGGGCGGATGGATTTGGCTCCTGACCGAGTTCTTTGACAAGGCCATTCGGTTTAGACCAGCCCTGATGGCTTTCTAAAAAGGAAGGAAACAGGCGGCAAGTGCAATTGCCAAGATGAGAAAGGGACCTATCATATTCCCAAGCTTGCTTTGCTGCCTTCGCAACCCCATGCAATTGACAAATATCAGGCCACTTCGACCAACACTTTGGTTCAAACCTTGCCTGCCCCCTCCAGGAGCACATGGGGAATCTAGAGCAGGAGATGGCGAAGCAGTCAGAGTGGTTCGCATGGCGGCGGGGATGCCTAGTGAGAGCTGTGGGAGGCTTGGGAAGTTTGCACGGCATGCTGCCCTCCGTGGTTTGGCTGCTGTTGTCCTTCTGATCATGTTGGAATGTGCATCATGTGTCACTGAGTGTGTAGGAACTGACAAAGAGGTCAGAAAGGTGGTGCTTCATGGATGTTGCAAATGGCCGCCGTATGGACCAGCAAAATACTTCCAACCCCTAACCTCGCCTTCAACTCACTCGCGTTCACAGGCTGTGCAGGATCCTTTCAGTTGGAAACTAGCATGTTCAGGGTTGTGGGATCAAGGGGTTTATCCCCACTTCTGTGATACGGGGGGTTCCCGCTCTATAATGTTGGACCTTGTTTACTGTGGCCCCCCCCCTCAAACAGTCAAAACAGTGCTCGAGGATCCTGAATAAGTATCTGGCAGGGAGCTTGGGTGACTTAAGTATTGCTCTAGTATTGCCACTACTTAGTTTAGTATTGCCAGCACTTCCTTTTGGGTTGCCACGACTTGATTTAGTATTGCTAGCACTTCCTTTTGGATTGCCACTACTTGGTTTAGTATTGCCAGCACTTCCTTTTGAGTTGCCACTACTTGGTTTAGCATTGCCACTTAATTTAGTATTGCCAGCACTTCCTTTTGGGTTGCCCCGAAGACTTGATGGACATTGAACATGGTACCCAAACAGTGCCCTTTAAAGATGATCAGGGCCCCTTGTGGGCAACCCTCTTTGCAGGACTGTTTTGGGAGTGTTTTTTGATGGATTTAAGTGAAGGATTTTGATGGTTGGAGCTTAGGATCAAACCAGGAATTCTTAGGCTCAGATCTTGGCCTGGTCCGTTGCTAAGCTTTAGAGATCTTTGGGACCGGGATTTGTTTTGGGCCTGAACTTGACATAAATCATGGTACCGAAACAGTGCGGGGGTCGTGTTTAAGCCGGGAAACTTGACATAATTCAGACTACATATATTTTAAACCAGGTGCAACATTATGGGGGGTTAGTCTTTGAGAGGCCTTTGGGTTGTATCACAGAAGTGTTCATTTCCCACAGCCCTGAGCATGTCGGATTGCTAGGAGGAGCTCTTAGTTTAGCAAACCCCAAAGGCCTAGTGGACTCATTTTATCAAATATTGGGAGGCTATAACTGTAGACCAGATTTGAGCAAGTGTTAGCCGCCGTAAACGTACTGGTGCCTCGAACCCACGCCTCAAGTGAAAAACCGAGGAACAGTCCCGAGAATCCCCCTCACATACCCTCCCACCCAGTAGCATGCAACAAACCAGAAGGAGCACTTCCACAGGTGTCATGTTGTCCTTGTTTTTGGTCCACAAACTGGGCCGTAGCCGGCTTCAGCCTTCGCCTAACAGGTATCAAGCAGCCAAACAATAATTAAAACAACACAAAACGGCTGGTTTTTGTGCGACAGCCTTTCGAGGATCGCCTGGCTGGAGTGGGCCACCAGTGGAGAGAAGCGGAGCTTTGCCCGTCTGCCGGGGGCTCTGGGGGACGAGAGCCGCCCTAGCTTCACAATGGGCTTCAAAGGATGAAGCCCTCCCAACAAATGGATCTGGAATGGAGCTACTCAACGCATGTTGCATCCTACCGGATGATTCAAAGCGAAGCAACCAATAGTATGTACTTGTCACAGTTGGGCTTGACTCATTCGATGAAAGTCGGAATCTGGCGGAAGGTGTCTGGATGATTGCCAGTCGGAGACTCATCGAGCTGAGCTCTGGTGTAGGCGCCATGAAACCTAAGGCCCCCAGTTCAGTGACCCTTGGGGCGATTTGGAAGGAGACTGGCTGACTGGCAGTTGCCCATTCACAAAGGGGCTCCGCTTCTTTGAGAGGGGTGAAAGTAAGAACTTGCGCGCTTGGGGGAAACTGCGCTTAGGCCCGTTTTGCAGACAAGGAGAAAGGTTCCTTTTGGAACTCTGTTCGATGTCATTTGGGACCCGTACCGCCTTCAAGAGAATCCTTCTGGAATGGGTCTCTCTTTTGTCAACGCGTCAGCTTGCAGTTGGATGCACGGTTGCGCCTGTGGGCCAGTCCCAGGATTCCCCCGCCCGCGACTCCGGCGGCCACCTGCTTCAAGCAGCCCCTGACAGAGGACGGGGCGCGCCTAGGCCTAGGCGTCGTTTTTTGGGGCTGGTGTCAGGGTGGTTCAATACGGCATCATGGTGACCTAGGTCTTCCAGCTTTTGGCGGTTCTTTCGGTTGTCCTTGAAAACCACGAACAGATGGAATTCCCTGGGTTGAGTCGCAAGACATGTGCCCATGGATGGAGTTGGGGGTGCGAATTTGAATACTCATAGGGTCTCCTTTTTGTGGAACACCTAGTCGTTTGTTTGAGTATATACATTCTTTGGGTACACTCGGGTCCACGGTTCCCAAACAGGAAACATGAAACAGGAGTCTCATCAGATGTGCAAGCAATCTCTTGTTGAACATCTAGCCGCTGCATTTGGTGAGTGAGTGAGGGAGTGCGTGGGTGGGTGGGAGTGAGTGATCGAGGGAGGGAGGGAGGGAGGGAGGGAGGGAGGGAGGGAGAGAGAGAGAGAGAGAGAGAGAGAGCGAGAGAGAGAGAGATAGAGAGAGAGAGAGAGAGAGAGGGAGAGAGGGAGTGAGGGTGTATGAGTGCGTGCAATGCTGCCCCCAGCATGCTTGGAGCTGCCCATATATTGCAGCCAATGGCTGGACTCTTGGCACTGCAAGACGCTATCCAAAATTCGAGCAGATCGACACTAAGAACATGTGAAATCAAATTTCGGGATGTAGGGCGACAAAACAGCCCAGACCCATTGCGAAGAACCCCCCCAAAAAAGATGCCTCGCATTTGTTCCTTCGCCCTCCTTTTCATCAAGGCCAACTAGACTGGTGCCGTGCAAGCGGGAGGACTCTGAGCTATGGGCCCAAGAGAAGACCGGGAACCAGCGCAGCTTGGCAAGCGGATCTTAAGACATGGGACAATGCATGAGTTTCCCAAGTGGCAACGGCTTCCAGCGTTTCCATTTGGATGTATACCAAACTTGCCAACCAACGGCAAAAGGGCAAACGAGCCACCTTGTCAGCAAGAGCTGCACGTAGCTCGTGGGGCTGGGAGATTGGGCAAATGTCCGCCACCATGGAGTAGGGAAGGGTCAAATTTGGCTTCGCCCAGTGTGAAGTTATAGTCCTGCGGAGAAAAGGAGGTGTTTGTCAAAGAGGTCTACACGTCACCCAAAATTATCACAATAGCGTAGCCCTTTGCAGTGGCATGTAAAAACCAACAAAAGAGATTCCCACCTTTCGCCGACGATTTTGGCTCCGAGGCAGTTGAAGGGGGTTGAGAAAGCAAGTAGCGGCGCTGAAGATTTTGCAAGAGTTTTTGGACTCTGTCCTCGGTGGCAAACAACGATATTTTTCCATGCCTTGCGTCCCGCCTCTTGTTGGAAGCTGGGCATGAGAAAAATATGTTCGAAAAAGAACGCGTCATCAACTGTTGTGCTGGAGAATACCATTAGGCCATGTCTGCCTTGTTTGGAGGGGGGGAGCAATGTGAACATGGTGAAACATACATGTTAAGTTCAAACATTACAACTGGGCAGTTCCACAGCAATCTCCCCAGGCGGACATTGAGACATGGCATGCCTCATGTCTTTGGTGAACCTTGGCTGCGCACTTGAGTTCAGACTGTAGAAGATAGATAGAAACGACCCTACGATTTCCGGAGCATGTGGGTTGCTCGGCTGAGGATTGCGTCGGGCGCCGATCACCAATCTACCCAACGTCTCCGGAGCGAATTCAAGGCGCGACTAGTAGCCCTGGTGTCAAAATATCCAGCCTATGGGGGCCCACAGAATGTCCAACAAAATAGCCCTCGGTGTCCAACAAAGCCCACAACCATCATGTCTCCTTCGTTAACTACCCAGCGTTTTTTTTTGTTTTTGTTTTGTTTTTGAATTATTATCATTATAACAGCAATATTATTCATTATTATCTAAGGGGACAACGGGCCAGCTGACCCTTTTAATAGGTGGTTGTCTCATTTTGGCCAGGTCCGGCACAAATAGAGCGGTCGACCGAGAACACATGCGCCCCAAAGGACGTTGATATGATTTGTCGGGTGAACTGTTTCCTCCAAAAGACAACCCTGGCCAGGTCGGCCAAAGGAAGCGCTTCCGTCTGGCACCAAGTGTTTGTTGGCAGGGTCCAGCAAGGTCTGATTTAGGGCAAGAGAAGCAGTGACATAATCAATTCACAATGTGAACTGATATGAATGGAGCATTGGTTTTCAGTGATCCCCTATCGGATGCAAGGGTTTCGGCGGTATCGGTTTCTAATCTTCTTCTCTTGGTTTGCTTTGTGCTACTTTTGTTCGGCATTCGTATATGGCTTCTTGTTTTGAGGGTACCGTTTTGGGGTTATTGCCAAAGGGGAAACCAAAGGAAAATCACTCGTTTCGGGGTTTTCGCGGACAGTTGGTTTGTTTTCCTTTATGGATGGGAGCCATTATAAAACCGCACATTTGCAGATGAGTGTTGCCCAGCGAAGATTCGGCTCAAGTTTGGCTGATCTAATTAAGTGTTATGTGGTGTGAAGGGAATGGGTGTGGGCCTGGGGGTAACCCTGATACATACCCTGTTGTTAATTGCAGGCGTTGTTGTATGTTGGCCTACATATTTGTACATGTACATCAGGGAACCTACGCCGGGGCCCGGGGGCACCTGGTTGAGACCTCATAGCCATTTGTGGAACTAACGTGCTTTGAGGCCGGCCTCTCGGTGTCGTCCTCTGCGCCGGACCGTGGCTGGGGGGGGATTCCTGTAGTCCCCTTGGCTGTCAGTGACTTGCGTTGGGGCAATAGGGGACAATGGATTTTGCGACCAAGCTGCAAGCCCACCTTGCCTACCCAAGCACATAGCCGCTAGGCACACTCCTGCATCCTGGTTCTCATGCAATCCCTGGATTTTGAGAAGCGCGTTCAGATTTTTTTCAAAAGCCGGGGAACAGCAACGTCAGGCATTACCAGCACCAGCACTAGGGTTGGCAGTGCACGGCCAGCTTCATCAGTAGCACCCTGGCCTCTCCTTGCCCACTGGAAACTGCAAATATGCTGATGTCACGGGCGCCTTTGGCTGTATTTCCGGCATTTGTTTGCTTTGTGAAAGGCGGCCAGTCGGATGTGGGCAGCCCGAGCACAAACGCTCTTCATAGGTACCCTTCTATGCAAGTTGCAGCCCCAGCTAGAGCTAGGGCGTAGCAGCTCTTGGGCTCGCCCAGGGCAGTTCCAGACCAATCCACTTTTTGCAATCCGCGATGTGAGTGAGCTAAATGCCGGAGAATTCAGCGGATTCCTTGGAGGGGGAGGTACCTTAGATGTATGAGATAATGAGACATATCCTTGTGCTTTTGAGGGCATTGTAGCAACCGTGCCATGACGATTCTTGTCTTGGGTTCCCAACCTTTTTTGGCTGGGAATGAGCGCCGCCACCAAAAACAAATCCGGCGTTGGCATGGTTTCCCAAAATCTTCAATGCTTGTGCGTCGTCAAAGGGGCCCCTTTGAACTGGTTCGCTTACGAAAAGGTAGAGGACCCCGGAGAACTTGATCCTATGCGGACATGGGCTGCCCAATCTGCAGGAACCTGTGAGCCATGTGTCCGGACAGTCCGAAGAACTCGAACACGCTCGGTGCCTGCAAGTGCACAGAAGTTGCGATGCTGCGCCCAAGGTCATGAACACTTGCAGTAAACGCTGCGCGCTATCATTCTGCAAAGAACCATAAGAGCAATGCTGGCTTGAGCAAACTTGATGCCGGCTGGCTGAGCGTGTTGCGCGCTTCGAGCTCATGTTTGTGCACGGACAGCATGCTTTTGCGTGCCGGCGGCCCTCTTGGCACGGTCACGTTCGTGGCCTCGCAAACGCCTGAGTGTGGGTGTGCTTGTGGACCGTGTCAAGACTTGCATCTTCACTGGTGGGTGGTTGGCTTATTGGAATGTGGCAAGGTCGGTCAAACATAGGGTCGGCGAAGCCCGGTGGTCGGAAGTTCTGAAACACGAAACGTTCTGTTCTTCTTTCTGTTTTCTTTGTTCTTTCTTCTTTCTTCTTCTTTCCATATTTCTTTCTTTCTTTCTTTCTTTCTTTCTTTCTTTCTTTTTTTCTTCCGTCCTTCCTTCCTTCCTTCCTTCCTTCCTTCCTTCCTTCCTTTCTTTCCTTCTTTCTTTATTTCCTTCTTTCTTTCTGTCTTTATTTCCTTCCTTCTTTCTTTCCTTCCTTCCTTCCTTCTTTCTTTCTGTCTTTATTTCCTTCCTTCTTTCTTTCCTTCCTTCCTTCCTTCTTTCTTTCGTTCTTTCTTTCTTTCCTTCCTTCCTTCCTTCTTTCTTTCGTTCTTTCTTTCTTTCCTTCCTTCCTTCCTTCCTTCGTTCTTTCTTTCTTTCTTTCTTTCTTTCTTTCTGTCTGTCTGTCTGTCTGTCTGTCTGTCTGTCTGTCTGTCTGTCTGTCTGTCTGTCTGTCTATCTGTCTTTTTCTTTCTTTGCCTTTCTTTGTTTCTATTACATATCGAGCTCTTGTCTCTCTACCTATCTATTTTGTTTAGTTCTGTTTATGTCTATCTGTCTCTTTCTCTCTCTTGCCTCCCCTCCCCTCCCCCTCCCCCTCCCCCCCCCCCCTCCCCCTCCCCTCCCCCTCCCCCCTCCCCCCCCCCCTCCCCCCCTCCCCCCCCCCCTCCTCCCCTCCCCATCCCCCTCCCCCTCCCCCCTCGGCTGAAGTCGCAGACTGGGACCTTGTGTTCGTTAGTGCTGTGTTGACTTGACGGCTCCACTCATTGAAAAGCGGCTGCCGGCTCTTAGATATCTTGGCGCATGCCCGCAAATGATGCAGGTTTCAGACTGGAAAAGGAGACTGAATGGGCCTTGCACACGTGTGTCAGTTTTTCAGGGCCAGCAAGCAAGTGTTGGATTTGGTGGGAGCCGGCCGTTCATTGCTACTTCGACACGCTTTGACTGAGTTGGATTGGATTGGTTTGACTTAATTATTCTTGCTCGCTTGATTGGTTGGTTGGACTCCCTGACTGAAGAAGTGCAGCTTGGCAAGGATTGACCTCACGGCCTGAACCGCTGAACTGCTGCTGAATCATACTCGCCCAAGGTGAAGCGCTTGGCCCACAACGTTGCTGCAGATTGCACGAAGTTTGGCAACTCAAGCCGCTAGTCACACCAGTTGTCGCACAGTGCAGCATTCGTTTGGCCTGGGTCGTCTCGGGGCCTTCCAAAAACCGGAGCAACTCCGCAAAACTACGCTGGCGCTGCCATTTGATGCCCAGGAGGTTTCTCTCACAAACCTGTGCTCAAACGGCAGCTTTTCTGGTGCTTCCTGTTCTTTGACGACTGACTCTCGGCCAGTTGCGCAGGGGCAAGTCACCGTCGACGGGGCGCCTTCTTGTCTCTGTTCAACGGACGCCCGTTTGAGATTCGCACGAGTCAGGCCTTCAATATGGCAATGAAGGCTTTGCCTGGCACAAGGGTTTCTGCTTGAGGCGAAGAAACTGAGCTGTGGTTGCCCTGGTGCTGTTTCTGGCAGGAAGACGCAACGCATGAAGAGCCGCGTTCACATGCTCTGCCATCCTGAGAGAGCTACGATGTACTGAGCCGTGCGTGCCTTGCGTGTGCTGCATATCCGTGGTTCCGGGACCGGGCTGCAGAGGCTGACGCGCAGCAAGTTCCCTGGCCCCTTTTGCTGGTGACAAACCTCAGCGGACAAGGCGCAGGCTTTGCAGACAGAAGTGTTGACGCAGCGGGCAGGGGCATGGTGGATGTTTTTTCTGCGAGTGACTGGCAAGATTTGGCCGCGCTTGCGGAGAACAAGCAACGGCTGTCGGCCACTTTGGCGAATTGGTTTGCCTGATGACCTTCAAACTGAGTGAGACACTCAGGCAATTCTGGAACATGGAAGGCGATGGCAGCCCCTCCATGCAAAATCAGGCCAGAGCGTGCCAGTTCGGGCGGATGCGGTCGAGCGTCCGAACTAACTCAGTGGCATGGCTCAAGCCGGCTGTTGCGCACGGGGTCTCTGCGGCGCAGACGAACGGAGTTGCATTGGGCTGAATCCGGGGGCAAGGGGCTGGGGCTAGGGTGAAGGCCGCGGGGAATTGGGCATGGGGTTTGGTTGTGGGGAGCGGGGGGGTTGGGAAGACCCGTGTCATCTGAATAGAGTACTTCCCGTTTCCGAACATCATGACCGAAAAGTAAAAAGCGAGCATTTGGTGAATAACGCGTCCCTTTTGCGCACGCTTCTTTGCGAGCAGGTGCTTGGGGCTTGCCTCAACCCTTCTCGAAGAATGCTTTTCCCGTAGATCGGTACGCCGCCTACGCGAAGGCGCAATTCAGTTTCTAGCGAGGCGTGCCTCCACCCAGGTCCTTTGAGCATTCAATCTGCGATGCATATTGTTTTTTTTGCAGTGCCTTGCACCGTCCCAGCTACGGCCGCGCAACACGAAAGAACGCGATCAGCTGAGAGGCTCCCTCAACTTTGTTTTGGTTCCGGCTAAGCCTGGGGCACCCGTGCTCCGATCTGACCGGCTTGGCGGTTGGGAGTTTTCGTTCCCATTCGTAGTGCCTTTTGGAACCCAACCACCGAGTGCCGGCAAGGCGATAAGGGTTTGTCTTCCGTCGGAAAGTTCTGTCCGTGGCCAGGATTTGCATGCTTCAGGCGCGTTTCCGATAAGAAGATGCGTCGAACCTACGGACCCTTCAAGAGACACGTGCTGTTCAAAGGCACGCCAACAGAAAACCGGTCGTTATGTTATGCTATGTTGCGTTACGAGTTTCTGGTTTTGCCGTAGTTGAGTGCCAACGACACGAGGATGGGCATGTATCAGCAGGGATTGTCGTTTGTGACCTGAACATGGGTTGCACGGCTTGCAACAGGCCATAGCATGGGAAAGTTGAGAGCCAACACCTTTGCCCGGCTGAAGGACCTGACTCTCCGCTCTCCAAAGTGGGAGAAAGAGATGAGTTAGAGATGCACATCTACGTTTGTTACACCGGCAACTCTCTCAGCTTGCTGTTCCCAGACCCAAGTCAAGCCTCGTCCTTAGCCATCCCTCGATGAACGCAACCCACTTGGACGTGCCAGCTAGCACATCACACGGTCGCCACATCCATGGGAGACACAGCCAGCCTTGGCTCCACGTCGCCACATGGGCGGTATGTGCCTTGGCAAAGCCAAAGCCTGACACCTCGTACTCCGAGAAATGGACAAGCTTGCCCTGGCTGTCACGCTTCTACCAAGTAGCGAGCAGTATGCCAACTAATTACTCAAAGCCCAGTTTTCCACTCCAGGCCCTTTTAGATTTTTCGGATTGAACACATGCTTGAACAATCCTATCACGGGGCATTTGCGAGAGGGGCATTGCTTTCAAGAGTCGCCGGACAAAACAGCTGGCAGCTCGAGGGCACCCCATCTTGATGCAACGCTTTGTTCACCGCCCACCTGCCATGGTAGTTGACGGATGAACAGGGGCGATTTGAGGCTTTAATGCAATTCCCATCACCTGAATGAGAAACTCTTTTTCTGTGTTGCAGGCGGGGTTCCCTTTTGAGTTTTCTCCGCCACTTTTGGTCCATTTCACCCTGCTAAGTAACAAGCCAGGCAGATTGAAGGCGATTGAGATGGCCAGCCTCAAGGTTCTGATTGAGGAATCCATGCTCCACCTGAGGAGGGTGTTGCATGACTCTCATCCATGTTCAAATTTGGGCCGTGGGAGGGTGCTGAAACTCTGGCCTTGTGATTGGAAGCACGCGGATGTAGTTCCTACGCAGACCACAGGTTGTGACCTGGCACATGATCAAGGCTCTTGAACCGGCCTTATTCTGGATGTGAGTCACTATGATTCACCCAGGTAGTTTGTTGGCTGACGCGTGGTGATCGTGCGGCTTAACTTTGGGCTGACTTTGCAAACCGTGCGGGGAGGATTGGGTTGGAGCTTCCAGTCCAGGGCCTTCCTCTTTCACCCGCTTGCTTAAGGCGCCTGTCAGCGGTGCCAGCTCGCCCATTCGCTCTCCACGTGCCCTGCATTGAGTCGGCGGGTGGGGAGATATGTGGAGCGACTTAGTCCATTTCCGGTTGGATTGAGTACCAGATTTAAAGGGTGTCCAGCTACTCAAACGCTGGCGTACCGACACACGGGTTCCAGCTTGCATCATCTGGTAATGATAGACGCAGCGCCTTACTGATGTGTGGGAAGTCCCAGCGGTTTCAAGACTGGAGGCCTCCAGTGAAGAACCGCAAACAAAACAATTGTTCAGGGCATGGGGAGCTCTGTTGTGAGTGTCTCTGTCGGCAATACGTTTGCTTGCACCCCAGGAAACAAGTACAGCGCGGATCATCTACTTCGGTGTCAGCTGTGTTCGTGATATTGAGGCCTTGATCACCAAATACCAATGCGGCCATACTGATCCGCAATGTGCGTTTAGGGTCCTCATAGAATGTGATTCGGGTCCCAATGCACATGGTTTCGGCAGACGGTACACATTCTCAAGGAAGATTACGTTCTTGCAAATTTTACCAAAGAATCTCTCCACCCATTTCCGCAAGGCTCCCCAGGTTGTATGTAGCTACTAGATTTTCCCTTCCCCCCTTCTCCCGTCATTGCGGGTAGTCCAGTGCTAAGCTCCACCTTGGCTGGCCTCTCCTCCTCTCTTATGCCCACCAGTTGCTTTCTCCGCCCCTTGCGCCCACCCTGCCAGTTGCCTCCAGCCAGTGCCTTGGCAGCATCTTGGAGAGTTTCTGCAAGGAGGCGTGACGAAACATGGGGGTGCGATGACCATTGCTCCAAGGCACGTGGAGTTTGTTCCAGTGGGCGCAAATCTGGGCTCCTATGTGAAGGAGAAGGCTGGAGTTCTTTGTTGCCGTGCACACATTCGCTGCTACAGTGGCTGAGCTTGCACGCCGAGAGGGGCAGGACATGGGGGTGGCCATCCACCTTGGCAGCTGGAACACAATCCTCCTCGACCGGACAGCAGAAGCACAATTCTTTTGTAGGTGCTTTCCCTTTATCCTTTTTCACAGAGTGTTGCAAGGCCCAGTCTCTTTGTTCACCGTGTAAACAAACGCCAACACACCATCCGGACAGGAAAACGCTGTTTGAGGGGACATGATTGTAGCAAGAACCCTCCTCGGCCAGTTGCCGATCTGGGGCATCCGTATGGAGTGCCTTTGCTTGGGGCGGGGGCCTCGGATGGAGTCAATGGAGACCATGAGAGCGAGGCTGTTTAAAGGTGGCACACCGAATTGCCCATGAGGCACAGCAGGTTGCTATCACAAGGCACAACTTGATTCGCCTGGACCTCTTTTTGATGATTGGATGGGGACAATTCAGTGTCCCTGTTTGACTGCTTGGCACGACGTTTGCAAGATTATCAGCAGGATTGGGGCGGGGAATTTTGCGGGCGGGCCACCATGGGTCCAAAAGTCTGGTCTCGAGTTTTGAACGCCCATTTGATGGATTGTGCTTGCCCTGACGGATTCTCATAACAGCACGTACTTGCCCGAAGTGAAAAGAAAGCGCCACAAGCACCAGCGCCGAACTCAAGAGGGATGCCTCCCAAGAGAACCGCCGTCCCTTTGGTACAATCGCATGCTCATCGAAGCCTTTATCTTCCACAGAGGCAGTGCCCCACAGAGTTAGTTTCTTGGGTTGCTTTCCTTGTGTGGACCGGTTTATGTAGTTGTGGTTGCTCATTCACTCTAGGCGTTCGGGGAAATAGTCGTGACTTGATCCAGTGGATCAATTTGCTGATGTTCCTTTGGTGTTCCTTTTAAGCAATGGATTCTTCCCAAACCGGCGCTCACACACACACAGGACATGCATGTTCTTTTCGCCTAATTTCAGTCCTTGTCCGCCACCGAGCTCAGGCTGTGCATCCTTCTCAGCAGCGTGCTACTTGCCAAGAATGGTTTTTTGACCCTGGCAGTCCGAAGGGATTCAAGCAAAGGTACCAGGGAAGGAATTGTTTGGGCAAGGTTTAAGCAAAGTATATCTCCATTCATAAACCAGCTCAAAGTTACGATCACTTCCTGCGCAACCAAGGACATGTATACCCAATTTGTCAAAGCTAGCCCGCAATCCCTCCAAACGGTTGGTGTCATGCTTCCCTTTTGAAAGCTGCGCCTGTCGCCCAAATCCCCAGTTTGTTTCTAGGTTCATTCGGAGGTTGGCAATGCGCGCTTCTCGCGGAGGGGCTGCACTCGCCAGCGAGGCTCTTTTTCGTGTACCTCTTGGTCTCTCAGCACATGGCCTGGCCGAATCGGGGGAGCGCGCCTTCGGGGTCCTTCGTGACATGCTCCGTCTTTAAACGGGGAGCTCTCTAGTTGGCACATGGGTGACCATATATTTTATAGGGTGGATATGTTGACGGCTCAGATCCTGGAACGGCAAGGTGACACTTTCATTTGTCGCTATGTTCCCCGCAGAAAATGAGACTAGGGATTCCGCCATCAGAGGGAATGAGCTTCAAATGGGACATCTCCGAGTTTTAACAAGTTCCCATTTGCAAAGGTTGCAATCCACCCAGGGGTGACAACAACACCTGACCTAATTGCGGGTTGAAACTTAATATACATGTTTTGAGGAACACTTTGCAGAGTTATTACAAAGCTCTTCTGACATCTTCAGTTGGACTAAGTGTTTTGCACATTTCCAAGAACCATCGCCTGGTGAAGCAAACACATGTGGAGGGACCTGGCAGGCAGCGGTCGGGCACTCCGAAGCAGATGACCTCAGTGTCAGCAGTGCCGCCTACGATTGTGCCGCAGGCGCGCCGCACACCCCTCGCGGAGACCATGAAAAGGAGGCTCCTCATTTCAGCCAGTAACCACGTGGCCAAGCCGGATGTTCAATGAAGATGTCGCATTCAGAGTTGTACCCTCTGTTCCAGCGGTAGAGGTCCGTACATTCCCTGGCATTGAAGGGTGTCCCTTGAAGAATGGAAGTTTTGGATGGGCAACGGGCAAGGGTGGGAATTGACAAGAGGCAGGCCTTTTCAAGACGGGCGCCCATTTCAAAATCCGATCGTCGGCTTCCATCGCAAAAGGGGGGGTCTAGGCTTCCACGCGTGAGGCTTCTGGAACAGAGACAAGGGCTGGAGCGATGCCAAAAAGCAGTACTGTGACTTGGAGAGATGAGTGCGCGGCAGCGGGCATGCCCATGGGCGAGGAGAAGTCATAGCGAGGTTGTTGAAACATATGTCAACTGTTTCGGACCCATCAACAAATTGCATTTCGATGGCCTGAACTGAGTGCTATTTCGTTTGCCTCCTGTCCGTTAGGGCCATGTTTTGAAAATACCCCTTTTCTTGTGTGGGGTCCTGCCAGGTCCGTTCACAGAACCAACCCGTTGTGCGGTATGATTTTATTATGGCGGGTACGTCTCAAAAATTGGGTGCCCCCAAAATGGTTTTGGTTTCCCTTGCCACTCCAAAACGGGTAGCCTTCAAAAGGCCCAAACCCCTAGAACCCATTGCCCCATGTTTGCTCGCCTGCCAAGGTGTCGAAGAGTCCCATGGTTCCACCCGATTTTTTCCAATGGAACGAGACGGTTGCAGTGCCAAAGTTAGGGCAGCATGGGCTGCTTCCCTTTGGGCCTCCCTTTGAAACCCCTGTCCTTGTTTTCTGTTGCAAGTCATCAACTGATTAAACAAAAAACACTG